ATGGGGAGTTCATGGGCAACTTTCAATATTTCAGAAAGATATGCTTTGGGAACAACGATTTGATAAACAATAGCCCAGTCCTCTGAAGTTGACACATCTGGTGGTCTACATTACCTCATAGGCACACCATTTAAAAAAAAATAACCATTTGGCACTTTCTCCAGTTCATCTTTTGGGAGTGCATATTTAAATAGTGAAGAGATCTGCAGATCTTTTATTTTTTGTTCAGTGATCAGTTTACTTTTAGTAAATGGAACTTTACTAGGTGAATCAGATCCCTCACGTCCATTATTGTCCCTCACTGAGGAATTATCAGTAGGACAATTATCCACAAGATCCTCGTCTGATAAAAAAATGTCTGAGACAAATCTATAACATCGTCCGCTGAATTCATGTCTATCATTTGTTTTTGGCTTAATTTCTTAGCCTGAACTCGAGTCACAGCACACGAGGGAAACACATCGGGCTTATCTTCAATGACAACATCATCCTTTAATGAAATAGTGATCAACTCACTAACCATTTTAGGTTCGGCAACAACTTTTCGCCCAGTCAAATCGTTTTCCAACAATAATGAAACCCGGTTTCTAGCGTTGTAAGTCCGTAGACATACCGCTGTGCCACTGGGGGGGGGGGGGGCTTGTGAAGATCTATCCAAAGGAGGTGAAGTAGTGGTAAAGAACGCAAAAACGCCCATAAAACCCGCAAAACACAAAATGCAAAACTGAAAATTTGTATTGTATCTCCTTATGGACCCAATGAACCTTCATACCAAATTTTTATGAAGATCTATCCACACCCTGCGAAATAGTTACATAGACAGACAACAAACAGTACTATTATATTTATATAGATTCAACAAAAGATTTGGGTGCAATATACCAAGTTGGCAAAATAATAAAAAGAAGAATTACAAACGGATCGTTTAAAGCGGATTTTCTTATCCTTGTAAGTCTAACATATGTGCTTTTTGTGTATTTTTGATATGTGTACAGCATTAGGAGTCAATAGTAAGGGTCTTAAAGTGTTGTTTGAACTAAATTCTTACTGCTTAAGCGGCCTTTTGCCCCAATATTCTATTAGGGTTTTGTGCAATTCCTTGCGATATCTATTATGAACCACTATCACTAATGTGAATTGGCAAAATCCTAACATTTTTCTCGAAATTTAATAAAATTGGTACGAAATCCGGAATCCTGAAATTGTCATAATATTGATAATAATATTCGAGAACTATAAATCCTGAAGTTCCAGGACAAGTTCTGGAAAAAAGGAAGCACTGCACAGTAATTGAATACAGAATATTGTATAGTCAGGAATCGAGTGAAATCAGTAACTTATATTTTCGCCATAGGCTGCAACATACACCATTGAGTAAAATGGCTTCTACTTTTCACTAGTAACACTGCCATCATAAAAGGGATCAATCTGAAAAATTAACATTTAAACACAAAATTTATATTGCATCAAAATAGTACATAAGATATGTTTTAACGTAAAATTGGAATTCTAAGTTACACGTTTCAATTTATAATTAGCCCTTTACAGCCCATGCGTTCGATGAGAAATAATATTGTTTATTTATTTATAATTACTAGGTAGTCCCTCACTTTCTAGAATTTTCTTTGTGAAAGCACGCTGCCCCTCCGTTGAGGCTGTTACACATATCTTCGTCTGTTTTTAAGGCTGCAGTCTTTGATAACTGAAACTACTACTATACGAAAGGCTGTGTATTAGAAGCTTAGGTTTGCATTCAACGTGGTAAGTGGTTTAAAATACAGCATAAATATAGGCAACATATTACATATCAGAACAATAGATCAGTATAAATGTGATCGACAGTTGTAAGTTTACCGTTATTAGAATTTAAGTACAAAAGCAAAACAATTCTCCAAATAACAAGTAACACTAACACAAATTGAGTTTGGGCTTAGGCTTTGACTTTGAGGTTATCGCATCTACTGAAACTTCCAAATACTTGTTCAAACTTTTTAGTTCTGTTTCTAATAGTTTTATTGTTAATTTATGTACCTTAGATATTAAAAATTTAAAATTATCATTAACACTATTTTTGTACTAGTAGTAGTACTAGTAGTCTTAATTTGTAGCTGCTTTTTTAAAGATATATTTGTAAATTGTAAACATTTCATTTTTATTCAGTTTGCACATGCTGAATCTATTGACAATGAAAATGCTACAAATTCAGGAGTTATAAAAAGACAAAAACCCAGTCAAACCTTAAGTTATTATATGATTCATGCATTGGTATTTCACTTTTAGTTAACAAACAACCCAATATAGTGTAAAATGTAAGAGAAATTTACAATTACATGTGGCCTTTTCTCAGATCACTGAAATGTTTGTTTTTTTTAGACAAATTTTTTTATAGTTTCAATTAATAACTCATTCACTTGTCTTACCAGTCTATGGGACTACACAAGTAGCACGTAGTTTTCTTTATGAATGTAATACATTTGATACCAGTACAAATAAATTATATTTATGATTCACTAGCAATACTTCAACTATTTAAGCCTTTTATATATAATTTCAATTATGGTGAATACTTTTTCACTTGCTAGCAATTGTACCTCAAAGCTGTACAAATGATTAAATATCTATGTCATATAATTCACATCCTGCTGTCTTTTTAGTGTGTGGACCATAAGCAAGTCCTGTAATAGCAGTTTCTGGACCAGAAAGTCAAGTAAGTATACAAAATCTCTACATAGTGTGAATACATCTACCAACACAGCAAAGTAAAAACACTAGCTTGAGAAGCTTAGACCTTCTTAATAACATTATCTCATAAGATTTCAGTTTGACTGAATGCGGTTATACTGTGAGACCATCATTGTATTAGTTTTGTAATTTGAGAAACTTTACCTTTGATCCAGTTAACAGATACAATTTACTTTCTATCTACCATAGTTTAAACTAAGGTAATACGTTATATCTATAAGTATAAGAACAAAGTTTGTGTACAGAAGTGACAATAACCAACTTAACACCAAAACAATGTGTCTGGATGGTATTATTACTGCAAATGAGTTTAGATATTTACATTTCTTAAAGATATGTAAGGATAACCTTGAAAAATAGATGGCTCTTGTTTTCCATATGTTGTGTAATTTTGGTAAAAGAGGGCCACTCTTGTTAGGGATTATCAAGTAATTATAGAGAAATAACCACTAATTGCAATCCCTAAAATATGGTCAAAATAAGTTAAAAGGGATATTGGGAAATTCAAAAGGGCAGATGAGAAGCAGTTCACAGAAAATTTTATTACTAAATTAAAGAGAATGAAATATTAAAATGGGAGTTGGAGGGGGGGGGGCTTTAAAAAAGGAAGGATGTGGTTGATGAACATTATTTTTCATTTGGCAAGATGGGTGAATTCTACAAGTTGATCTCTCTCCAAAATACTATGTTCTATAAGATAGTTAATATTAAACCAGAAATGGCAAGATTCTAGATTGGAAAATTGAAGGAAGATAAGATACCTGGGCCAAATAATTTTCATCCTAGGATAACAAAGGAGCAGATTTATGGGCTGTTAACTGAATTTTTAATAAATGCATTTAAAAGTAGTGGTGACATAAGATTGAAAAATAGTAAACATTGCATTAATTTTTAAAGGGGAACATTGACAATGTTCAAGTAACTACCAGCCAATTAGCCTTAATTTAGTGGTTAGGAAATTACTAGACTATGCTTAAAGAAACTTTTAAAAAGCATTTAAACCAGGAGTAGCCAACCTTTTTTGTGCCACGGGCCAGATTTTGATTACTGGAGTCGACACGGGCCGCATTCAACTTTAAAATACAGTGCTGGTAAAAAAAGTGGCCTCCCTGAGCTTAGTATTTGTCAATGCTCTGATAAAGCTCTCATTTGGCTGTGGTTACAAAGAATCTTATATCAAATTAAAAATAATGAAAAGGCCGCAGGTTCTGTCTAAGTATCATGCGTGGGCCGTAATACAGTGAATTTTATAAATGTTAGGTGGGCCGCAGAAAAAGACATCATGGGCCGCATGCGGGCCGGGGTTTGGCCACCCCTGATTTAAACAGTTATCTCTCAGATAATCAGCATGGAGTTGGAAAGTCATGTCTTACAAATTTTCTTTCTTTGAAAATGTTACATTTAATGTGGGAGATTGATGCACTAGAATTTTGAGAAAGCTTTTTATAAAATGAACTGTAGGAGACTTCATAACAATGTTATATCTCTTGGGAAAGGAGAAAACTAGTTAAATTGACAGATGGTTTGGTGGTAGACGTTTGCTGCAAATGGTATGTATTTATGGTAATGTTATAAGTGGAGTACTTTAAGGTTCTTTCTGTTTGTCACTTTTGTAAATAACAGTGACAAAGAAGTAACCACTTTATTGGTTAAACTTCTAGATGATATAACATGGATTTATAGAAGAGAAATTTTACCTTGCTGCTCTGTTATCTTTTTTTTTTTCTCGGATGTTTGTTTTTTTGATGATAGGAATGGTATTTGTGTATGAAGATGTTTAAAAAGCTATTCCTTATGTACCACACAAAATATTAGCCAAGAAAATTAGTTAGGTATAAGTTGTGGAAAGATTGATTAATTGGATTGTAATGTGATTGGATGGGAGAAAGTAAAAGAATCTTAATATAATGGATCTTGCAATGTATACATCCAAAACTTTGATCTTGGAAACTACCACACTGATCTTCACCAATCATAACTGGGTAACGCTTTTATAACTAGGCAGTATTTTTATAGCTGAGCAATAAGTAAAACAATTGAAATTTCTACAAAAATGATATGTTTCAGATTTAACCAATAAAAATTACACAAAATGATACGTTTCAGATTGAACCAATAAAAATTACAAAAAGGAGTAAGTTTCAAATATAAAAAATAAAAACAAACTTAAAAAAAATTATTTCTTTTTTCTTTAGTGAAAATCTCATGAGTGTTGCAACAGAAAAGCAAGCCATTTTCAATGATAACTACATCTACAAAGAAATACTTCAATAAAATCTACTCTGTGATGTAATGCTGTGATGATAGCTCATTTTTAAACTAAACTTTCAATAAAATCCTTTTTCTCATGGATGTTGAACATTATTGAATGTCAAGTATGAGTATATTGTTGTAGAACTGTCAGACAATTCCATAAAAGGCCGCATGCCCAATAGCCTTCCCCAGGAACTAGCGGTTATACCTGCCCAACAGGTGGGTATTTCTGCTAGTGTTAATAATGGAGTCCAGCCATAATGGACTCTTGTTACTAATGGAATGCTTCAGGGTTTTTTATTTACATTAATGGTATTGATAATGATAGGACATAATTGGGACATCAGAAAAGTTAACTGATGATTGTAGTTCTTTCTGTAGAATTGAGTCACACTGAATATGTCATGACCTTTTACAGAGTTACATTAAAAATTCAAGTTTACTATCAGTGTATGTCAGTAAAATTGGCAGCAAAATGTAATTTGTTATTCAAAGTTTTATATCATCTAAGTTTTAAGTTCTTAACTTCAAAACTAATATCTAAAAAAAGCTTGCTTTATTTTTCTCTGTCATGTGATGTCTTAATTTGGCTCAGAATTTTATAACTTTTTAAACAGATCAGAAACATAGTATTCATGGTCACAAGCAAGAAGCTAACAAATTTGGACCCCCCCACCTGAGATATCAATAAATGTGTTAAATCCATCATGCAAGATTGGAGCCCCTTCTCTTTGACTTTCGAGATCATTTGCAATCAACTTTATAAAGCTGAGGGACATTCTTATGACCAATAGAAAGGGCAGATCTTTTTTCTGTGTAAAGTTTACCATTCCGTATTAAGTTTTCCCACTATTGTCTGCTAGTTGAAGAGAATTGCTTGGTATATGTTGATTTGACGCTGTGAATAGTAACAGATTTAGTTAACTTATTTACAGCTTACCTCGAAAAAACAGATAACTTATAGTAATTATGGGACATTATACTCCAGTGCCTTATTTGTTTTTGTGTTTTCATATGCAAATTTAAAAGCTACAAGGTTTTTCTTTTTTTCTTTGGTGGGGAAACCCACATTTTTGAGGCTCAGTGAGGCTTGGGGGAAAACAAAGGTTTTAACAGGTCAAGTACACAATAAGTACTAGAAATCCTTGTTTTTAAAATGTAAAAAATTATAAACTTCTCAGCCTGACAAAATTCAGTAAAATAAAACATCTAAAATGACACTAGCTAGAGCACTGGTGGAAAATATGACACTAAATTGTGAATCAGCTGATGGGCTCCTGCATGTAATTTATTGCTTTTGACTGAAGAATTAGTGCTGTAGTGGTACAAGGTACAATAGTAAAATATGAAATTAAAAGAAAATGTATTTTGAAAAGGTTAATAGTTAAAACTGTTAAGATGGAACTTTCTGATCAATACTGCTGTCATTGCAGATGAAAAAATGGTATTTCATTTATTTCAACTTTTCACTTCAGTGTGCATTGTGATAATTTCTATACAGTTATGAGTTAGAGTGGAAAAAAATAAGATATATATATATAGTTTTATTGAAAACTTTATTTAGGAGGTTCTAGAGGTTATGCAAATAAGTTATGAAAATTAAGATGAAAAAAATCTGTAAATATTAGCATGAGAATCATCTTTCACTCGGAATGACTTAGTAAAGGCTTCATAAATTTAAAATCACAATAAAATCTTTCCTGAAAATTAATAACTTGCCAAACTTCATGACTGAATAAAAGGATTATGGCATGATGATAAGTTACTCAAGCCATTGAAGCAGTGTACTGTTGTTAGTAGCAAAGTTAATACAATTTTAAGGTGTACTTATTTACATTCATATTGGAATTCAAAAAAGATCATTATATCTTGATACATAAACTAGTTAGGCCTTACTTGGATTACTGTGTATAGTTTGATTTTTCTTACCTAAGAAAGGACATTTATCTACTGGAAAGGATTCAGAAGAAGGCTACTAGGATGATTCTGATGATGGGTTATCTTATAAGGATAGGCTAGTCTTTAGAAAAGAAGGGTAAGAATTGATCTTAATGAAGTTTGGAAGATTATCAGTGAGAACAGTAGGATAAAGGCCTCTTCTTTGTTCTATGTTTTGACAAGAAGGTCAATAGGATAAAGGCCTCTTCTTTGTTCTATGTTTTGAAGAGAAGGTCAATAGGATAAAGGCCTCTTCTTTGTTCTATGTTTTGAAGAGAAGGTCAATAGGATAAAGGCCTCTTTGTTCTATGTTTTGATGACAAGGTCGATAGGATAAAGGCCTCTTCTTTGTTCTATGTTTTGAAGACAAGGGGTATTATTTACAGGTTCACAATTTTTATATTTGAATCAGTTATCAGTTGTTTTTATGCTTAAGTATAAAGTGCATGGGGTCTTAGGATTACCTACATGTTATGTAAACCCATCCAGTTAACATGTGAAGATACTTTTGTCAGTAAACTACTTCTTGAAATAGGATGTTTTAAAGTTGTTGTTTTTGTAGACTTGTGAATTAAGTGAGAAATATATATATTTTTAATGTAAATACATACTGTAGTGAAAGATTTTAAATGAATTGCAAGGTAAAAAAAAAGTGAATCTTTATTTTCCAGAAAGAACATATCCAAACAAGTTAAAGAAACAAAGATGACAATGAACGAGGAGGATCAGAAGAGCAATATTTACACTCCTGGACCTAATGCTGTAGACATAACTCCAGAAAAGGATGGTGGCATTTTGAAGGAAATCATCAAAGAAGGCGAGGGTAATGACACACCTGGAACTGGTCACACTGTCTCTGTTCACTATACAGGTCGGCTCACAGATGGTACAGTTTTTGATTCTAGTGTAGAGCGTGGAGAAAAATTTGAATTCCAGCTTGGAAAAGGTAAAGTTTCAAATAGTTTATTGTTCCAAAAATGAATAGTTTGTAGTACAACTGATATGTGAATAATGCTGCTTGCTCTGCTTAAAATAAATGTAGAAAAAAAAATAACTAAACATTTGAAATGATTGCAAAAATATATTTCTATACAAAAGTTTTGAGATGCTTAAAAGAGTTTTACATGTATATTTTCGTCCCCCAGTGGAACGGTGGTATGTCTGTGGACTTGCAACACTAGAAACCGGGTTTTGATACCCGTGGTGGGCAGAGCACGGATAGCCCAATGTGTAGCTTTGTGCTTAACAACAAACACGCAAACATATACATTTTAATTATGAGTAACAACTCCAAGTAATACCTGTTATAAAACTATATTAACCAATGTGTTGTTCTTTTTTTCAAGTATACAGTAAGAAAGTTGCATTACATTTGAAACAAAGGTAATTTTTTAACATATGATTTACTTTCCTGTAGTACAATTAAGATTATTTTTTAAGATGATTTATTTTTGGTTAGAAAGTATTAAAACCAAACATTGTGAATAAATAGTAGTAGATGTACACTAAAAGAATGAACTTCATTTTCTTTAGTTAATCTTAGCTATGTAAAACAAACTATTTTATATAAAATTTAATACAATCTAGGAGAAGTTATCAAGGCATGGGATGTGGGTGTGGCTACAATGAAGAAAGGTGAAAAAGCTGTGCTTACCTGTAAACCTGAATATGCCTATGGAGAGAGTGGAAGTCCTCCAAAAATACCAGAAAATGCAACACTAGTGTTTGAAGTTGAACTGTTTGATTGGAAGATGGAAGATTTAACATCTAAGAAAGATGGAGGGATATTAAGAAAAATAATTTGCTTGGGTGAAGGTTATAGCACTCCAAATGAAGGAGCTTCAGTTGAAGGTTTGTGCAGATTTTTTTTTTAGATGTTTAATACTCTGTGTATTATAATGATGTAGAGTATTAAAAGTTTGCATAATACAACTAAGCATGTACATCTACAAAGAGGAGAAAATTTCAATTAAAAAAATTAACAATTTAGGAAGGTGTTGAAAAAGATTTATAGAATAGTTAATATTGAATGAATATTGTACATAAATAAAAAAATAATGTGATTCTTATTAACTTGTGAGAAATGATACAGGAGAAGAACTGCAAGTTTGTAAATATGCACATAAATATAATATATGAGCAGAAATGCTGCCCTATGGGTGGCTGGTCAGTCAGGATCACGGGGAGCTGAACAGTGCCTCTCTGTCACAAAATTGTTCCAGACTTCTTACTGTATCTTGGTGAGCAAATTGATGTGCTTCTGTATTTTGGGTTTGTTCCTGATTTCTTCTCACTGGATCTTGCCTCATAACTTGGTGAACAAGTCTATCTCTTTCTCTCTGTAACTGTAACCTGCATCTTGATGTTTCATTTTCTTTTTTTCAAAGTTTCAGACTTTTTTCGTGATAAGTCACTTTTATGTTTTGCAATTTTTGGCATCGTGATTTTTTTTGTTTTTGATTACTTTATACTCGTACTGAAATAAAACAAAATACTTGTGTAACTTACAAAGATCGAGTTACTACAGAATTTTTGCAAATTTGTATGCAACAAACTCCGTATGAAGGACTTGCGATTCCTACAGTCACAGAACAATTTATAGCGTACGCTTGGATTCTTCAGCAGAAAAAGCCACTTTTCTTCTGAAATATCACAATGATTCTTCATTAGGAAGACTCACTTTTAAATTCTGCATTAAACTCACTTTACCACAATTTTAGAAGTTTTATTAAAAATTTAACTTTGTTGATAAATAATAATAAATATACAAAATTAATGTACGTTATTAAATAAGAAAGAAGTTCCATTTCTCTATCATGGAAGATTTAGGAAAAAACTGTTATCAAATAAAGTCCTGTTATATTTTTAATTTTAGCAAGGGTCTATTTTATAACATTTTTTATCTTTTGCAATATAAAACTGTTATTGACTTATTTCTTAAAAAAAAAAAGTGGAGACATGCACTAAATTAACCTTTTTACGAGAGACCCAATTGTAATGAATCTTCATTAGGAATTTCCCTTATGATGTTGAAAAATTGTGAAGTTTCATCCAAATTGGACTTAAACTGTGGGAGGAGTTTTGCAGACAGATGGACATTAGCCTCTCGTACATATGTATTATGAATGAAATATATTGTAAAACAACAAAAAAAAAACCTTTATGAATAAAATTAGCAAAGTTAAAATAATTTAAATATCAATATAAATCTTTTGAGATTTTTCCATAATTCATTTATTAATGTTTTGATGAAAAAATGTTCTGGGTAGATTTTAGCATGAATTTCTTGAAAATAATGATTTAAAATGCACTTTTTATTTTTGATGTTCAAGTAAATACGAGTTTTATTTAGGTTATCTTCAAACTGTTAATAGTGTAAGTTTTGTATATATTAAAGGGCTAGGGGTGATTACATGAAATCTGAACAGAATTCAAACACAGGTATAATTTTTGACAATTATCGTCAATATATTGCAGGGTTATAGTGCTATAATGTGTAATTAATTATCTAATATTGCTGAAATATTGCTTTTTTTGTTTACTTAGTAAGGTTAAATAGCTATGCAAGTTAGTGGTGCAAGTTTGGTATCTGAATAATGTGTGTGTGTGTGTTATTATCAAGTAATTGAGTACAGTTTGAGTAATAAAATAATTATGCTGGTTATCCTATTACAAGATTTTCAATCCAATAAATTGATAGTTACATGGATTCCTTTACAGAATATTTCTCATTATAAACCAAAAGATAACATATATAATTATTTGCTATTTGACATGTACCTTGTACTTAAAATGAAATCAGAGTTTAACTAACAATTATGCTACAAAGGGAGCCTACATTACTAGCTAATTGTCAGCTCTAATGTCACTACATACATATATATATATAATTAGGGGGTCTTAATCTTAAAGCTTATTTGTTTACATTCTAGTTTGTTTTAATGAAAAGTAATTGAACTATTTGCATTTATTATATAATTTGAATAAAGATAAAATAATGCAAACTCAGGAGGTCGGTGTACTTTAAGCATTTTCACGAGTAAGCTTGTTTAATCTTAACGTATGAACTCTTGAATCGGATCCTATTAGTATGTTCATCTGACATTCTCACCGTAATTCAGCAAGAAGAGGTCATTCAATATCTAGAGTGTAGGCAATTGAGATTGAGTACAGGCAACTTTCTATTAGCTAGTGATGAAGTTTAATCAAGAAATACATTAGATAAAAAAATCTGTTTAAAAGTAATTTTTGTTTTTCTGAAATTCAGTGAATTTTTTTTCGTTGAATTATCTATTGCATACTGATGAGAATCTGTATGTGTTTTATCACATGAAATCTAAGGACAGTTATTTTTATTTAGTAATAGTATACTAAAGTAACGTATCAGTTATCTCTAACAGTGCTGTTCACATTTTTTTAAACATGTAATTAGTTTATTTAGTAATATATATCCCAGTGTTTCATAACCTGTACTCTTTATTTTTTTTCAACCTTACTGACATTGATTGGTCATGCAATCTATATTATACTGTTGTTATATTAGTGAAAAATTTTGAAAGGGTATTTATTTACAAGGGTAATAACATCTGAGAATGTTACATTTAGTGTTTATCTGTTTTATAATCAGTCACAAAATAACCTCTATTATCAACAAAAAAAATTCTGTAGTTGTAGAAGAGTAGTCTTGTTAAAATATTTAAGGAAAACTTGCATAATGATAATCATATTTTAGTGTTTCAGGTTTTTTTATTGTTATGTATAAGGCTATGTTTCATCTTTAACAGCTTAGTATTAAAGAAATAACTGTTCTAAGTTGATGTATCTGAAGATGTCAATATTCAGCAAAGGATATATCAAAAATGTATCTAAAAAGAAGTTGAAAATAGGAAGATTAATCTGGTGAGAATGATCAACTAGTTTAATGCAGGCCTTGACAAGTATTTTTAAATCTAGGAGTCAGCCCAAAAACTCAGGAGCCAGGTGTGCTTAACCTAACTTCACTACTGTTTTTACTGGGAAATGTATATTTATTTACTTTCATGGCAGTGAGTGCATGCTAATAATCACATGATATCAACAACCACTTGATAGTATTGCCTGAACTAACTGCCTTTGGTCCCGTCTCAGTCTAAACATGTGCACTGATTGGTTTAATTGAGAGAAAGAAGAAAAACAAAGTAGTGTAAAATTAATAACGTGTTGTGCAACTGCCAGTGGTTCATTCCTGAAAAAAACGTGAACTGTTGAATCTACCATTAGAATCATAGAAACAGTGTTCGATTTAGGACTCAACACGAAAATAGTTCCAGACTTCCAAGAGTACAGAACTGTTCTAGATTCAAGTTCTACTTGGCACAGCCCTACGCATGAATAAATTGGAAAAAAATACTAGATTCTTTGATGAAATTTTTAGTCACCATGGTGACCAGGTTCCTGGGATTTGTCGAGGAGTGGTTTAATGTAATTGGTTAATGAGTATACCAATTAAATAATTGGAAAATTCCACTAATTGCACAATTCTAATATAAATATAATTTATTGGATATATTTTACAACTTTCTATGTGAATCCACAACATTAATTATGTTTGTATGAAATAAATGTACCTATTTCACAATGAAAGTTTTTGTAGAGAGGTTCTGAATTGTTAATTATTCATAATCACTTAAAGATGTTATAAGTGTGTTTTTCCCACATTGTAAGTTACTTATTCCTTGTATTACAGTTCATTTCACTGGAAAGTACAATGGTGTAGTTTTTGAGGAACGAGATCTTACTTTCACCTTGGGTGAAGGCTGTGAATTTGGAGTGGTTGAAGGACTTGAAATGGCACTTGAGAAATTCAAAAAAGGAGAGAAGTCTGTCATTAATTTGAAATCAAAGTATGCATTTGGCTCCAAGGGAAAGGCAGAATTTAATATTCCACCGAATGCTGAAATTCAGTATGAAGTGGAACTGAAGAATTTTGAAAAAGTATGTACATCTTTATACACAGAGAAAAAATAGTGATACTGTAATGCTTATAATATGTTTGCTAAATTTAATGACTTGGCTGTAGAAAAGAAATAATTACATGTAGGCTTAAGGCTTTGTCTTCAGAAATTTGACAATAGATATAAATTGTAATAATGGTTATACAAGCTAATTAAAAAAATACAATTTTTTAGACTTGCAGAAATGCCTAGCATTTAATTAAAGTTTGATTAGTTTAAAATTTTATTAGTTTTATTAAAAACACATTAAAAGAAAATAATCTTGCAAAGTTTTGGTAACAAAGAACAAGGTAAGAAAAGAAATTTACTAAAAATAGTACTAAACTTGACTGGTTTAAACAGTAAAGCAGCCCTTCAACATTAAGAACAACAACTAAATATAAAGCTGTTTGTGGTAACTTATGTTTACATAAGTTTCCAGTTTTCCATTATTCTCATGTTGAGTTCTTTCTTGAAAGACATTAAAATAAACAAGTTTTCTTCACTGAAGAGCATGTGTTTTATCTTTTAAAATAGATCATAAGGCATTATTAATGCCTGTTTACAGAGAATTCAACCCTTTCAGTTCTTGTGGTTTTTCTATAAAAAAAAATGTTTATATTGTTGAAAAGATCATGGATTTTATTTTTACCAAACAGTTTCTACACAGTTAACATTTACAGCTGCTGTTAAAAACTGACTTGTAAGTCATATACCAGCCAGGAGAGACTTGGATCTATGAAGCAGGAACCTTTAGTTTTACAAAGTTGAATAGAATTTTAGTAGTAATCCAGCTGAAGGGTTGTATTTGAGTCTTAATAACATTGTAGCTCAGTTGGCAGAGCATCAGTCTCGGAGCACTACTATGAGCCTAGAATAATGCCTTTGTTAGGGAAGACTGTTTTCACCTTTCAGTAGATACATTACACAATATGTTTTCATATATTTAACCGACTAATTCTGGTAACTACTTAAAATACTTTTCTTTTTCAGGCCAAACAAGGCTGGGAAATGGATTCTGATGAAAAACTGGAACAGTCTGAAGTTGTAAAAACTAAAGGAACAGATTATTTTAAAGTAAGTGTTGTGCAGTTTAACTAATTGTTAATGGACACATTTCCACTTCACATACAAGTTGCTAGAACAAAATATTTCAGATTTGTAGTATTTCATAAATGTATGTACTTCCAAGAAGTAAAATAATTCTTGTTTCGTAGGTATTTTAGAAAGCACAGTCGTTGTTGGGTTTGAATTGGGCTGTGTATAGAGAATGAAATATGTTATTCATGAAACAAGGAAGAAACTGTTAATTGCAAGCTTCAGACCTACCTCATTCTAGTGTGCAAACCCTTTGTGGAAACCTTTAATAGAAATATTTTTTGTTAACTTTTATAGTGAATGTGTGTAAATATAATTAAAATACCTTTAAATAAATGTGTGTTTTTAAGGAGATTTGATTAAAACTCTTGGTGTTACATTTTTCAGTTATCATTATCAAGCATGTGTTTGTGTTACATTTTTCAGTTATCATTATCAAGCATGTGTTTGTGTTACATTTTTCACATAATGATAACTGAAAAACATAGCACCAAACACATTTCATAATGATAACTGAAAAACATAGCACCAAACACATTTCATAATGATAACTGAAAAACATAGCACCAAACACATTTCATAATGATAACTGAAAAACGTAACACCAAACACTTTTGGTAACAATATATGAAAAATGTAACACCAAAGACATACTTGATAATGATAAATGAAAAATGTAACACCAAACACATTTGATAATAACTGAAAAATGTAACACCAAACACATTTGATAATAACTGAAAAACATAGCACCAAACACATTTCATAATGATAACTGAAAAACGTAACACCAAACACTTTTGGTAATGATATATGAAAAATGTAACACCAAAGACATACTTGATAATTATAAAAAATGTGTTTGGTGCTATGTTTTTCAGTTATCATTATCAAATGTGTTTGGTGTTACATTTTTTCAGTTATTATCAAATGTGTTTGGTGTCACATTTTTTCAGTTATTATCAAATGTGTTTGGTGTCACATTTTTCAGTTATTATCAAATGTATTTGGTGTTATGTTTTTCAGTTATCATTATCAAGCATGTGTTTGGTGTTACATTTTTCAGTTATCATTATCAAGCATGTGTTTGGTGTTATGTTTTTCAGTTATCATTATCAAGCATGTGTTTGGTGTTACGTTTTTCAGTTATCATTATCAAGCATGTGTTTGGTGTTACGTTTTTCAGTTATCACTATCAAGCATGTGTTTGGTGTTACGTTTTTCAGTTATCACTATCAAGCATGTGTTTGGTGTTACGGTTCTCATTATTAAATGTATAGTATATTTTGTGTGTATTCTGGTATAAGACTGTTACTAGCTGCTCTACTTTCATGAACTTTTTAAATAACTTAAAATTATTTAACCCTATGTTTATGGTGGGGAGGATACAAATTGTACAAACAAACCTTTTTATAGGGTTACAATCAAAATTTAATGAAACTACTGTATTATCAATGTATGTGAATAAGCTTGACATGTTTATAATTCAATTATTAATATTATACAAGTTTTAACTTTTTATTTCAAATGGAATTATTTAAGTAAAATCCCAGTCTTTGCTTCTCTTTCACTGACACGTCTTTGCTCCTAATTGCCCATTTTAGATTTTATTTCTACTACCATATAATCTTCTGAGTGTGGCACATATTACATACCTGGAGAGAGATTGCTAAACTATAATGAAAATTTATAGCCTCTGATGATTTTGTTTTACTGATATATTAAACCAGAAAGTCAAACTCATGAGCCACACATCTCCAATCACATCCTGTCTTTCAAAAAATGTCAATAATTCTTTTTGAGATTTGATATTTGATTATTTGTAACAAATAGAAAGAGTAGTTTGTCCTATGCAAATCCCATGATTGTGTGTTTTGTTTAAGTTGTGGAAGTAATTTAATTTGCCATCAAAGTTTGATGGGTTTCAACGAAGATTGATCCAAGATGTTATGGAATTTTTTAACCCATGTACATTATTGTAGTTTTCCTGCAGTGTAGTGTGCAATGTGTTTTAGGTTTATTAACATTCCTGTTAGAAAAGTACATGAATTATTTTTTGGACAACCAACATAATTAAAAAATAAAAAAGACTTAGGAAAGCAGGCTAATAACTGCAAATTGGTCTAGAGCTACAGTATTCTCTAAATTTCTATGTTTTTAACATAGTATTTATTTATTGTTATATATTTTTTAACAAAACTATGTAAAATGTAAAAATTAAAAACTTGTTAGGTCAGATAAGAAAATAAATGGAAAAAATGCTTCATGTGATTACTTTGCAAATATAATTTATGCAGTATGAGTTTTGTGATGTAATTTGATTCACTTGTTTACTCCAAGATCTCTAATCTAATTGCTCTTTGTGTACTGAGGGAAAATCAGAACTTGCTACGCCCACCCATCACATCTTTCCTAACAAACTGTCAATAATTCTGAGGTTTTATACTATATCATTTCTAACCAATAGGAAGGCAAAGTTTCAATCTATCAAATGAAGTATAATGCTTCATTCTTTTCAGAGTATTGTCAATTTTTTCTTCAGTTTCAAAGTGTATCTTATGGTGTTTATATGAGCAACAAAGAGGATTAATTTAAGCTCCTCTTTTCCTAGTTAGAAAGCCAGTTAAATTATAATAGCTTTGGGACATTGTTTTCATTTTATTATTCTGTGTTCTTAGGTGCATTATTGTAAATAAAAATTTAATGTACTAATACCGTCATTTACAAAAAAAAGTAGGCTTAAGTTTCATTGGCAGCCAACAGCAAAAGAAAAAAAAAAGAGGTCAAAAGTAAATACTATACTTCTTGTTCTTCATGTATATTCTTTATTGCTATAAAAGTAACCTAAATGTAAAAATTAGAAACTTATTAGGTTAAATTAGGTAAGATAAGGAAGAAAAAATTAAAATTCTTTATGGGGTATGCTCATGAGAACTTGTGCATTACATGATTTAAAACAATAACGTGAGCTACACTTTTCCCAAGTGATTTAAAACTTGTGTAGTAGGAGTATTAGTTAGGTATGGTTCAAAGGACAATAAAACATTAAAATTAAGTATAAACAGATGTAAACTGTTATGAGCCTTAGCCTACTTAGGATAAACAATTTGTTTCCTTTTACAATCTGCACTCATTCTAAAAATAAAAGGATAACTTAGATTTATATTGTATTTTTTTATGGTGGATAAAAGGTCAATCAAATCAACTAAGTCTATATATTTTATGGTAGAGAAAATAACTGGTAAAGTATGATGTTTTATTGAAAAAAAAACTTTGATATTTATTTAGGAGATTATAGAGGTCAAGGAAATGAAATTTGAAAGTTTTCAGTTGAAAAAAGTATTTTTGATCCTAGCATGAAAATCACTTTGAACTCGGAACAATCAACACTCTGACTCCATATATTCATGGACAAATCTGTAGTAAAAGTACTTAATTAAAAAATATTGTTTTTGTGTTCAGAAGACTTGTAATGTTTACTAAAAAATTGCCAAGTTGTGATGATACACAAAACATATTAAAAGCTATACTATGGAAATTGACGGTTATTTTGTGGTTACAAGGTCAGTCACATCAATCGACCTTGTATGGGACTAACCCCTAAGGATTGAAATTACTTTCTGAGTTACTAATATCCAAAACTTCTTGGTTTTGCATAATTTTATTTGTTTTCTGTCATTGTATACATAAGAAGTTGACCTAGGTATACAGTAAGTTTTGGATGTACTTGTATGTTTCATGTACAACATGAAAAATTTAAAAACTGGGAGAGATGTAAGAACACTAGCTTTTTTGGTTTAAATTAGTTTAAGTATTCAAGAAAGAATTTAATATGAGTTTGATGTTTCAATGGAACTTTAGGCAGATTATCGATAGTAGGTTTGAGAACTTTAATGGACTGCCTGTTCGAAGAAAAGGAGACTATATTTTGGCTTCTATAATGAAGACATCTATACTGTATAGAAGTCAAAAAATCATTCAACAGCCAGTTGGAGTCTGTTAAAGTTTTAAAACTTAATATGAGGTTGAGTATGGAGTTAAAGTATATACCCTTGAATAAATGTAGTAAAATAAACCTGGCATTAAACAGATATAAAACCAAATAGAACTGGATATGTCAAATTAGTGTTACATCAAATGCTATAGCTATCTAGTTTCAGCCTCTTGATTTTAATTTAAGACAGAGTAAAATTATATGTAATAGTGTATTAATGTGTTGATGTGGTATATATAATTTCATCACACAATTGTTATGTTTTTTCTACTTAGACTGGAAAGTATAATTTGGCTATAAAACAATACAAGAAGATAGTTTCTTTCCTTGAATTTGAGAAGTTTGAAGAAGAAGAAAAAGCAAAGCAATGTGAAGCATTATTGTTGGCTGCTCATCTTAATCTTGCTATGTGTTATTTGAAAGTGGATAATAACAAGGAAGTAATCAATTCATGTGACAAAGCTTTGGAGAAAGATCCTAATAATGTGAAGGGTTTCTTCAGAAGGGGACAGGTAAGTAAAAAAGGCATTTTTGTAAGTGTTGACCAGTTTAAGGTATCTGAAACCAGGCAAGGCATTATTTGGAGGTCTTGGTCAGTGATGAAGGCCTGTGGGAGGAAACAAGGCATTGTTTATAAGTTTTGATCAATGTAAGGTCTTTGGAAGGAAACAAGACATTGTTTGTAGATAGATATTGATTAGTGTAAGGTCTTTGGAGGGAAACAAGACATTGTTTGTAGATAGATATTGATTAGT